TAATGCTGAGATTTTCTATACAGCGATATCATCAACCAGCTTTCATATAACAGTTGTACCTACTATTAATGTAAGAGAGCACTTGTACAGCAATAGAATAACCGAGTGATTGTGTACAATAGGAAGAGATGCTAGGTGATGCACAAGAGCCCGTACTGGTATTCATTAATGGACGGAGTGGAGGCAATCAAGGGATTGAACTTATTAATGGATTCTCACGTCACCTTAATCCACTTCAGGTCTATGATCTATCAGCAGGAGGACCATTACCAGGGTAATTAATAATAATAATAATAATAATGATTAATATTAATTTATAATATTTTAATAAATAGATTGTATTCATTTCGTAATGTGTCCAAGTATCGTGTGTTGGTTGGAGGTGGGGATGGTACAGTTGGTTGGGTATTGAGTGGACTGGACTTCATGAAAGACCATTTAAAGTGTCCCGTACCACCTTGTGCTGTTCTACCATTAGGAACTGGTACGTATTACTTAACTCCAGTATCAACCCTGGTATTGTATGTATAATTAGGTAATGATTTGGCACGTGCTCTTAAATGGGGAGGAGGGTACACAGGAGAGAAAGTAATGCAACTATTGTATGCTATTGAAGATGCTGATCGCCAACCATTTGACAGGTATAACAAATTAATATTGATGCCCTTATGCTGTGTAGAAAGAATGTTTGGGATGGTTTTTGATAAAATTAAATACTTTGTAAATTATTAAAGTTTACTCTAAAATTTGGCAAAACTTTTTTTAGACTTTCAATAATCAAAAATGGCTGGGGGAGATAATTCTCTATATTTAATTTTTTAAATCTGCTTCATTTTACTATATTTTCTGTTTTTAATAGATGGAATGTAAAGTTTAAAGAGGATTTCCAGCTGATATCTGAGGCTGAAGGAGCTGTTGAATGTAAAACCGTTACTATGAACAATTACCTTGGTATTGGTCTTGATGCTGAGATAGCACTGGACTTTCATCAAGCAAGAGAAGATCACCCAGAGAAGTTCAACAGCAGGTAAGGACACCCCCTACTAACTGTATATCATATACTGACCTTGCACTGTGTGTGTATGTACATCATAGACTCCATAATAAAGGAGTGTACTTACAATTGGGAGTACAGAAAACATTCTCAAGAGACACAAGTGCTGAATTACATCAAGTCATGGCATTAAAGGTTATCATTGCAATATATTTATTAATTATTATTAATGATAATAATTATGTAGGTTGATGATAAATTTGTGAGCCTGCCCACTGGACTGAAAGGAATAGTACTACTGAATATTGAAAGGTATTTTACTAAAATTATCATTGTCATTATTATCATTATTATTACTTTTAGTTGGGGAGCAGGCTCTGAACCATGGGGTAGTCACATAGAAGAAGTAATGTTGCATTTATTTATTTCTTATTTATTTATTTATTTACAAAGGGTTTTGAGAAGAATACCTATAGTGACGGCATGTTAGAAGTAATGGGACTATCAGGACCAATGCATTTGGTAATAATAATAATAATAGTAATACTTATTGATGTACTTATGATTTGATAGGGCCGGATAAAAAGTTCACTTCAAAATGGTATCCGTATAGCACAAGGAACCAATGTAAGTATATATATTAATGATAGATATAGCAATAGTAATGATAATATATACTTTTAGATTTCAATCTCTTTCTCATCAACTTTACCAGTACAAGTTGATGGTGAGGCATGGCAGCAGACTCCTTGTGAGATTGAGGTCAATCTTTTAGAGCAGAGAGCAATAATGCTTAGAAAATCACCAAATCAGCAAAGACCATCCAGTCGATAAACCCATTATTACCCATATTAATACATAGAATATATATATATATATATATACGAGTACATGAATTTATTATTAATGCAATGATTATATATTTTATGTCTATAATATTATGTTTGTGTCATATAAAATATTTCATGAAAATTTATAATCAAAGTTATACCAGTAGTAGCCCCTACAGGTCAAGTGCAGATTATAGTATAAACAATTTTGGGATGTAATTGAAAGCTTTTGATAATCATATCATTATGATAAGAGGATAGCAGCACTCTTAGCAATTTGAATGTGACAGCTTGCAAGATCAATAGTTTGAAGAAATGTTTAAATAAACATTAACGATAATGTTTTGACAAAAATATAATAACATTGCTGGGATTGCTCACTAGCACAAAGCATAAACAAGCTCACAAGAGAAAAGAACTGAAAAATAATAATAATAATCTTGTATGCATTTGATTCTTGTTTAAAATAATAGTAACAGATAAGCTAAAATATCCTTTAAAACTAAAGCAAAAATAAGACAAGCACTGTGGATAAACAACTGTCAAACTTTAAAAAAAAAGGAAAAAGAGAAGAGAAAAGTATTAAAATTAAAGGATTAGTATGGCTGGAGTAGTGGAGTTTAAAGCAACACAGACAGCTACTTGAATAAAGCACTTGCTGATGATCCTTTCTTTAGTTCCTGTCTTGTTCTTCTTGAGCTGAAATTAGTATCATCAATCAAGGCAGCAGTCTCAGAGCTCTTGTCAATAAGGCTCCTAGCCTGACGGTTAGTCAATCCTTTTTGATAGTGAGGCTTAGTGGATTTGCTGAGCAGTAGGGCTTGAGTAGGAAGTAACGTGATCTCCATCGTGCATGGAGTCTGCTGCCATGCTTCACCATCAACTTGTACTGGTAGGTTATTTGTCAATGTAATCATAATCTAAAAGTACAATATCATTACTATTGCTATATTTATCATTAATATATATACTTACATTGGTTCCTTGTGCTATACGGATACCATTTTGAAGTGATCCTTTTATCCGGCCCTATCAGATCATAAGTACATCAATAAGTATTACTATTATTATTATTATTACCAAATGCATTGGTCCTGATAGTCCCATTACTTCTAACATGCCGTCACTATAGGTGTTCTTCTCAAAACCCTTTGTAAATAAAAATAAATAAATAAATAAATGATATAACATTACTTCTTCAATTTGACTACCCCATGGTTCAGAGCCTGCTCCCCAACTAAAAGTAATAATAATGATAATAATGACAATGATAATTTTAGTAAAATACCTTTCAATATTCAGTAGTACTATTCCTTTCAGTCCAGTGGGTAGTTTCACAAATTTATCATCAACCTACATAATTATTATCATTAATAATAATTAATAAATATATTGCAATGATAACCTTTAATGTAACAACTTGATGCAATTCAGCACTTGAGTCTCTTGAGAATGTTTTCTGTACTCCCAATTGTAAGTACACTCCTTTATTATGGAGTCTATGATGAACATACACAGTGTAAGGTCAGTATATACTCTACAGTTAGTATGGGGTGTCCTTACCTGCTGTTGAACTTCTCTGGGTGATCTTCTCTTGCTTGATGAAAGTCCAGTGCTATTTGAGCATCAAGACCAATACCAAGGTAATTGTTCATAGTAACAGTTTTACATTCATCAGCTCCTTCAGTCTGCTGAATATCTTTAAACTTCACATTCCATCTATTAAAAACAGAAAAATTATTAGAAATAGGAAGTTTTTTCAAGCCTATAAAATAGAAAAATTCTCTCCTAGCCATTAAATATCCTAATAAGAGATTTGCCAAATTTTAGAGCAAACTTTAACAATTAAACTATCAAAAACCATCCTGAACATTCTACACAGCATAAGGGCATCAATATTAATGTATTATACCTGTCAAATGGTTGGCGATCAGCATCTTCAATAGCATACAATAGTTGCATTACTTTCTCTCCTGTGTACCCTCCTCCCCATTTAAGAGCACGTGCCAAATCATTACCTAATTATACATACGATAGCAGGGTTGATACTGGAGTTAAGTAATACGTACCAGTTCCTAATGGTAGAACAGCACAAGGTGGTACGGGACACTTTAAATGGTCTTTCATGAAGTCCAGTCCACTCAATACCCAACCAACTGTACCATCCCCACCTCCAACCAACACACGATACTTGGACACATTACGAAATGAATACAATCTATTTTTAAAAATATTATACATTATTATTATTATTATTATTATTAATTACCCTGGTAATGGTCCTCCTGCTGATAGATCATAGACCTGAAGTGGATTAAGGTGACGTGAGAATCCATTAATAAGTTCAATCCCTTGATTGCCTCCACTCCGTCCATTAATGAATACCAGTACGGGCTCTTGTGCATCATCTAGCATCTCTTCCTATTGTACACAATCACTCAGTTATTCTATTGCTGTACAAGGGCTCTCTTACATTAATAGTAGGTACAACTGTTATATGAAAGCTGGTTGATGATATCGCTGTATAGAATATCTCAGCATTAGCAGGACATTCAATATTAACAAAGAGTCCTC